CAACTCCGGGAGGCAGTGGAAGACAGGAGGGCCTGGTGTGCTCTGGTCCATGGGATCACGAAGAGTTGGACATGACTAAATGACTAAACAAGAACAATGCCAACAGGATGCCAACCAATACTAAGTTCTTGTGTAACGGAGAATTTCCAGTTTGTTTAGCCACTCTCACTAAAGGAAGCCAAGCAGAAGTAATGAAGCAAAGGGCATGAATGTGTTCACAACAATAAATCAAGCCTGAGCTATCTCTGGTGACAAAAATGTTGAGACTGGGGCTGTTGTACTTTGGGCACATCAAGAAGGGCGGGATTCTCTGGAAAAGACAATAATGCTGGGAGTAGTGGAAGGCAGTAGGAAAGATGACCAAATACAAGATAGATTGGCTCCCTAAAGCAAGCCATAAGCTTCAGTTTGAAAGCGCTGAGCAGGGCAGTTGAAGAAAGCATCTTTTGGTGACTGCTCCTTCATAGGGTCACTAAGAGTTGGAGGTGCCATATGGCACAAAACAACAATGATAAATCAGGATTCTCCACATATAACAATGGACAAAGCAAGTGTATCCCACCATTAAAGTTTGTAGTTTGATAGTAGAACAGCCATTGCTTCTACTGTCAAACATCTCACTTTAACGAAATAAATGTTCTATACTGAATGTGGGAATCACCTATCAAGTGGCAACAACTCCTTCCTAAAAGCCATTATCTCAGTCAGAAGTATTCATTATATGGCCTTCAGAGTCAGACTAAATAAAGAATGGGGACAACAACAAAAAACGTCATTTTAAATAATCTGTAAGTGATGTAAAATTTCAGATATCAACAACAAAATATATTTCACGTTCCAGCTGCTGTTAACAGCTCAGTACTTAACAGGCTGAGTGGATATGAAGCAAAGAACTCCAGTCCTTCAATATAATCTACTAAAATGAAGGTTGTTTCTCATTTCAGTCTGGGTTAAGAAACTTTCTACAGCTTCAACCCAGGAGTGGGAACAAAAATAATCTAATTTCATAAAAGTTATTTAGGCCTTGTAGCTGCAGGCTTGATTGTAGCATATGTAGCCTCTAACATACGTAGTCTGAGGGATAGTAACCTCAAATGCAACCCACAAAAATACATTACCAAAGGCTCTTACATCTTAGAAATTGGCTGAGATGATCCCTTGGCTAAAGCAACTTTAAGAATTTAAAATGTTCACAGATACTTTATTGAAAATGTTCTTTTACTAACATGCATATGGTCACTTGTATTATGGACATATGTGCTGATATACCTTCTTCAGAACACTCTACTTACCTTTTTCCAGTCTTCTGAAGGAATGTAGTCTTCGTCGTCTTCAGACTCCTCTTCTATTTCACTATCTATGTAACAAATTAACAAACTTTTAAAAAACTATCCTGAATAATATTCCTTCAAATAAAAAGAAAAAAAAAAGAAAAAAGGATATCTTAGAGACAGATTTCTCAAAGCCAAATATGGTTGGTTAATTGAACAATGAATTATGACATCACAACCAAATCTATGTGACTAATTGTGGCACAGATCTCCTTACTGAGTAAATACAAAGAACTGAATCAAGGCTAGACCAACCATTCTTACTGAGAAAATCACTCCAGGTAGCAGAGTATGGGAGCCACAAATTGACCACCCTCATCCTACAACTCCCAAAAGTGGGAACCCTCAAAATGGAGGGATATGAAAAGAGGCATGGGTGAGGACAGCCACCTTTGAGAGCCAGGACGTATGAGAGCAAGCAGGGATGGAAATATCTGACTCCAAACTGAACTGGATTTCTGGCAGTGGTAGTAATGCTGGAGCTACGGTATTTTTCCTCTTCCTCTGCCTTTGGCAAGAGGCCAACTCCAGTTCCTTCTCTGCCAAACTTGAGGAGATGCTCCCACTACGACTACATTGTCCTGCTCTGTCCCAACTCTCAGGATTGCCAAGTTTTACTTTAATGATGTCACTGTGCTCCCTTTGTGTTCTGACATATTTATTTATTATTCAACTTGAATACCGCCCCATAATGCATGCACTCTGTGGGAGGTTCATAACATATTAAAATCACATAAAATAAGAAAAATTAAAATACCACACAATAAAAACCATAAATAGATAACCCCCTGTCCCTAGCTAAAAACCTATCTTTATATAGAATTAAATAAATTAGAACAGATTTGAACATCTCAGGTAGAAAAAAGCATAAGAAAAATGTGGCTTTAAATAATACTGTTTTTACTAACATCTTAAAAACTGAGAGGGAAGGTCCTGAAGAACCTGTTAGATGTCTGTTCCAAAGAGAAAGGGCCATGTCTGAAAAAGCACAGTTCCTAGTATTAACACTTTTGGCCTCCTTAGGTGTCACCATTTTTAACATTATGGACTGTGAGGAGTGGGTGGGATGTTTTGTAGGAGACGTCTGAACAAGTATTGAGGCCCTAAACTGTTAAGGTCTTTATAGATATTAATCAGCACCTTGAATAGAGCATGGAAACAAACAGGAAGCCAATGAAGGCATGCCAAGACTCAATATACTGTATGTGTTCATATCTGCTGCTACCCATGATCAATCTGGCTGCCACATTTTGGACCTACTCAAATTTCCATGCAAACTTCAAAGGCAACTCTACTTAGAGAGCATTACAGTAGTCTATTTTAGAGATTATCAACACATAAATTACCATAGTTTCTCTTCTCCAAAGTTGATGAAAAGCACTCTTGGACACAACAGACATTTGCACCTCTGTAAACAGCTGGGTCTAAGAATACACCCATGATGTGAACCTGATCTTCCATGGGAGTGTAACTCCATCACGGTCAGGTAAATATCCCTCTAACTGATCTAACAATCCTCCCATCAGTAGGATTTCTGTCTGATCTGCACTCAGTTTCAGTTTATTGGCCCTCGCCCAGTCCATTATTGATGCTGCTCAGTGCTCAAGGACATGAATTGCATCACCTCCAGATGAAGAAAAGGAGAGAGAGAGCTGCATGTCATCCACATATTGATGACAGCAAACTCCAAATCTCCGTATGACTTCCCCCAGAGACTTCATATAGATATTGAAAAGCACTGAGGAAAGGGCTAATCTCTGAGTGATCCCACAGCAGAAGTTCCAAGAGATGGACATAGCCTTCCCAAGCTGTACCATCTGAGATTAGCCCTCAAGGAGTGACTGGAGGCACAGAAAAATCATGCCTCCAGTCCTTCCTTGAGGACCAAGCAATCCCACATAATTTTAAAACTGAGAACTCATATTTGCTCTGTAATTTTGCAATTCTATATTCTATAAAATTACTAAATTTTCTCTGAATTTTTTTATAAAGCAAAAACTCAGAAATATACTATGTTGCCTTCCAATTACAAAAAAGAGCTAATCTCATTCATCACATGAGAATATTTAAAGATCATAGAATGCTGAACTGCAAACATTGCCAAAAATGTTAAAAATGTGGTTAGATGATAGGACCTAAAAACACATACTTGCATCAAAGTATTTACAGCGCCGTGGACGAATTATCTCCTGTACCACAGATGGTGCTGGATCATCATTAGAGGACTGTGTCTCATCCTCTTGACCTGATGAATCCTTTATGGCCTCCTCCTTACAAATAACAAAGAAAAGCAATTATTTTTATTATTTCTACCTGCCTTTCTTAAAAGACACAAAATAAGTAATATAAAATAATACTTACTATAACAATAAAAAGACACCTTAACACAGCATCCAAATTTTAAAAAGAGTAAAGGTTAGGCCACTAAGAACATATAAAATAAATTGAAAAAAACAGTGGTTTTTTTAATCAATGTTGAAATACTTGAAGATATCCAAATAAAGTATTTCAATGTCATTACAAAAAGGTCCTTTTTCACCACTGGATCTTATACTGTATAAGGAAAAAACCAAAAATGGGGCCTCTGATGTCAATCTTAACTAACCATCAAATTTATTATGTGAAAGCAAAGCATTCTTTTAATGCTGGTAAAAGGCAGCCCATGTCATCATCATCAGTATTTGAATATCTAAGAAGAGCGTAAGATCAAGGAGGACTCAAAGATAGCATGCACCAGAGCCTCTGTTGTACTCCTCTGGTCCAGGCCTCAACTGATGACAGATAACAGTTTGAGAACTTTCCTCCCTCCCTCTTACAATACTTCAGCCCAAACTTCTGGATTGCCTGTCCTAGCAAATTTATAAAGACATGTCCTATACACCTCAAAAATTAACACTTTGTGGTATCCCACAATGTTCAGTGTCACAAGGGGAAAAAATCTCTCAGCAACACCTTCTGAGACCTTCTATGAAAGAGCGAACTCACTGAGTCACAATGTCCCAAAACATCATCTACTTCAGACAAGTCAGAAAGGTAGTACAACTGATTATATCAAAATACACTGAGGTCAAGGAGAATCATCATGGTTATAATCCTCCTGTACCTTTTGTGGTGAAAGTAGCTGACAAAGCTTTATCTGTTCCAAAACTGAGCAAGAAACAAAGTATATGAACACAGAGAGATAATCAGTCTCACCCAGGAACACCTGGAACGGAAATGTTAAAGTATGCTTGAAAAGCTTGCCCAAGTAAGGGAGATTTAACACAGGGTGGTATACACAGGCTGAATCCACCCTTTTTCTCCCAAGAGAAGTCACACCATGGGTGCAAAAACTATGTCTTTGCTCACATGAAGACTAATTACTCCTGAGACACAGAGAAAAAGAACTGCCTAGATCACACTAATAAATTATAAGACAGGAAAATGTAAAAACAACAGATAGACCAAAAACTGTTAAGTACCCTCTTCATGTCATCAAGAAGAACAAGCTTAAAGGTATCCACTGCAACATTTATGAAGAATCAGCAACCAATGTCTTCCAAAAGCTTAAGATCACAAACAAGGTTTATGGGGTCTGGCATCAGGTTCAGGCACAACTCATCATGCTATTAAATAACTACATAGACAAGCAGATGAAGATCCTTTAGTTCTAACTGAATGAGCTCTGGATAGGGCCAGAACAGGAAACTTCATCAGGTGGTAGTAGATATGAATAGTCTCAGCCACCTGTTTGAATAAGAACAGCAAAGAAAATTATGTGGCCCTTAATAAAAGAGAAACAAACATAAAATGTGGTGAAAGGGCTAAGTGTGACCCATGTAAGCAGAGACATGCACATGATACACTTTGATAAAAGATAAAATGAAGAGGAACTGAAATATGTGATTCACTGAATAAGAAGCAAGATCAAAAGCCATTTTTTTAAAGCTGGCCCTTTAGTCTCACTGATCCTCATACAATCAGTGAATAGAAGATCAATTATTTCCTCCTAACGCTAATAATATCCCATTGCCTAAGGTTAAATTCAGCATATTCACCACAGACTGAGACTGAAGGTGCAAAAGTCTACATGGTATACAATCCTGGTTAAGAGTGAAGCACTCTGGGTAAATCAAGAGCTTCTAATACTCCTGGTATAATAGCAGTTGTTTTGCAGAAGCTCATAGTCTGTTTTGGCCACCAAGGAATAACTAGAATTATGTTGGGCTGATTCCAGAAGATTTTGACTAGGACCTTATATAACAAGGGAATGTAGAGGAGTATATAGTAAAGTGGCTCCTGCAAGAGAACATTACTATTAAATTTGGTGACAAGCTTGATCTGCTGCAAGACAGGTATACCGGGCAATTTCCAGCACAGCAGAAAGATGCATCTTTGGTAAACCCAACACAGAATCGATAACTGGTTGATGCAACTATACATAACTTGTTAGAGGAATGATTCATGTGGTCTATAAGGCAGTTACTTCCAGCAAGATGAGCAGTCGCTCCTGGGGCTGTAACAAAGATACATGATAGGTCTCAGTATGCTTGGTCAACGTCATTCTGCTATTAACAGTATTGTGGAATGAAAACCACTGTAGTTCACTCAATTCCACCATGTACAAACAGATCACCCATTCCCTCACTGACAGTATGTGACACAGCAGTAATATGGATGGCACCAAGAAACTAAAAAATAGCAAATGCAATTGTTTAGCTCTGTGGAACTACTATTAGCATCTAGGTGTACAATGCAATGTAATTCCAGATAAAGAGTAAACTTGAGGAATGATTGCAAATGTTGGGGCAATACACATAGGATCTATAAACCAATCAGTTTTCTTTCAGGAACGAGAATCTTTTTGGCATGAAGTTTAGCACTGTCTAAATGCAGAAAGAAATGAAGCTGCATATTCTGAATGTGGGCTGCAGCTGGCAGAGCCTATGAACTTGTTGAGACAGGGAAATTTATCTGCCAAAGAAGCTCTGCCACCATGGGTAGAATCACTGGCATTAAAACTGCTTGGATCATGAGCTCATTCTTGAGGCTGTAGAACTAAGGTTTCCTGTGTAATTCAATGAGTAATTTATTTTAACATTAAACAGACTTTCAATTGGAGGATTCTCAGTTCTAGATCAACCCTCAATCTGCAGAGGACATTATGCCTCAATATAATCTGGTATTGTGTAAACATGCATCGCTCTGAAGTATTAGAATAAACTGCTAAAGAAAATAATTAAGACAGACATCTTTAATAATTTGCAATACAGAAAAAGGAAGGCAGCATTGAGGTGGAACTTGTTGCTTATGGTATCTGGCCTTCTCAACCCACCACACACATTATTATCTTCTCTGTAAGCTATGTTTTGGACCACTTCCATAATCTCTGAGCTATCCTCCACATGTGCAAAGATACACCTTCATCCTGCATCCCACACAGAATCTCCAACTTTTTAGATGTTAGATAAATGGAAACTTTTTATTTCAAGGGTCCTCTGCCAACTGTGAGAGTGCAGGAAATATACAAATGATAACCTGAATGGTAATGTCAGACTGGACAAGATGGAACAGTGGATCTTCCACAGGTGGTTGGAGCTGTTTAATTTCCAAGTCCAAGCAAGAAGCCATCTGAACAATCTGTTCTGCATTGGACATAGTATCTTAAGTAGAAAACCCAGGGATTTAGTCATTAAAATCTGAAGTTGGGATGAGGAATAGGCAGCTGCAGATGCTATCAAAGAAGACTTGGATTCACATAGATGTTGAAGAAAGCTATGAAGAACAGACAGTGGTTTAGGTCTGAGTGTCACATCAAGGATGAACAAAGCAGAAGGCAGAAGTTTCAGAGATGCCATTAAAGAGCTACTATCTCTGGCTATGAGATACAAAAGCGTGATAACTGTTCACAAAATACCCTGCAGTGTTGGAGAAAATATCTACAGCTACAGGTGGAAATAGTCATGTCAAAGGGGGCAGACATGACTATCTCATAGACCAGAGAGGTTTCCGGAAGAGGAAGCTGTTACTAGGGATGCAACTTTTGAGTTAGCCAAAATGAACACACGCACACATACACACACATGCAAAAGAGGTCCTTTCTTTCATCTTCTGAGCCTCTTGTGACTTTGTCTTAGAGAGTCTCTGAAATATGAAGGAAGTTACTGTACTAAAAACTATGGATTTCTTTCATATTTTATATTACTCTCTCCCATTTCCTTTATAACTGCTTAGAATGTTTAGGTCTTTGCCCTTTATCTGGTGGACTACTGTTGGTGCTGAACTGAAGCTATCAAATTGGAAAAAGGAAAAGCTATCTCCCAAGTTGCCCATACATTGGGGTTTGGTAGTATAGTGTGTATATTTTATTTTGATTATGATCATAATGATGATTTCTCTTTCTCCTCTGTATTGTTTCCTGCTGATGAACTAACTGGTGAGGATAATACCACGATGATACATGGAAACTTTAAATAACTGTTAATACATGTATAAGTCTGGGTGATTGATTTTTCTTTCTCGTGTACTGTTATTGCTCAATTTTGAAGTGGATAATTTTCTACTGTCTTGCCCCTGCTTTTTGGGACTAGTTTTGAGGACTTTACAGAACTTGATTTGGGCCTAGCACCAGAAACCAGAATGGTAAATTAGAAACAAAAAAAAAAACCTGAAAGATTTGAATACTTTCAGGTTTACCAAAGAGTCTTGTATTAACTAAAAAGAACCCGAAACCAAAAGACAACTCCCTGAAAGACTCTGAAATGAAAGGAATACTAAAGTTTACCACCTGCACCTAGCTAACTACCAGTGGAAAGCCAAGGAAAAAGTAGCAATATGGTTAGGCTGACCTGGTAGGGCTGTTGTCAGAGTTTAGAAATCCCAGAGTGACAATTATCACCAAATCTATGCTTATCTAACTGCATGTTTCTGCACTAATTCATACAACAGTAATGAATACTTATTTTAATAGCACCCAGTCAAACTTTCATTGTAGTAATTATTATAGGGCCATAATAATCCTCCCCAAAACAACCATACTGCTTTCAGCTTCTGCCAATAATCTGAAGTCTTTAGGCTTTCACTCCAGCCACTTCTGGGTTCTTCATATACTGACTTTTGCCTTCTTGATAGCCAAAAAAGGCATCTTACTCTTTTCAGAAGCTGTTCCCAAGTAACAGAACTGGATGGCCCAATTCCATCATCTCATTATATTTGAAACAAACAGCTAATAAGCAGATGAATATGGAATGTCTGTCTTACAACCAACTTCATGTCACACAATCCTTTCTCATAAAGTCAACATTACCTTAAGCAATGAAGCGAATTAGCAGCTGCTGGTCTGCTAGCTTGACCTTTAATATTGTAAAATTTCTTTGGTCTAAACATATGATACATCCCACACTTTACAACTAAAGTTCAGAACCAATATCTAATATATTTTAATTCTTATTACACATACAGCAGCTTCATGTACCTTATCACAAGTTAAAAAAGAAAGCTAAGGTTCACATTGACTTTATTTTTTAAGGTAGGTTTTATTTTTAACTTTTAAATAGTTACTGTGCTCCTCAGCCACATGTGTGCATTCACATACTGTACATATACTGTAAATACATACACACATGCAAACACACAAAACATGGTTTCCAGCCTGTTAGGCTGCACCAATTTAAAATTTCCACCACCTCTGCTCCAGCTATAGCCCCAGTTGTCTGACTGCCTGCAGTTACAAGCAATCCAAAATTTTCTTACTTCCTAAAAGTTTAAAGATTATATATTTCCTCCCAAAAGATTGTGAATGATAGGAATGAACATTTATAACATGTCTCAGTTTGCCATATAGCTTGTCATCCACTGCCAAAATAGTGTCCTGTAAACATACACATTTGTATGGACAATTATGGCAGCTGTTTTGAACTTGACTGCAAGAGTGCACTACTGTACTCTTCCTGTGTCACCTGATGAGTCTAGCTATGAACCACTCATCAAAGTTTCTATGATTTTTGATGAAATACAAAACATTTGGGCAAAGTGGTAGACTGGAATCTGAATTTTAACAGCCACTCCAGCAAAACCTCCTCAGATTATACTTGTACACTTCATTTGTTTGGGGTAGACACTTTGTATCATTTATTGAGTAGAAATTCTGCATCTTTATGGTCTGCTAAAACTACAGTAAGCTACACAGTTCTTTAAAAAATCATACAGAAGGCCTGAGAATAAGTCTGTTCCACATTGTTCTTATTCATTCAAAAATAGACTTTAATATTACCTTTATAAAAAAAATTCTTTTGCTCCTATATCATTTAACATAGTAGCACAGTCACACAATTTGCCACTTACCTGCATGTCACACTGAAATATGAACTGTCCCTTTTTATATCCAATTGAGCAATATTTAAATTGTATGTCTCAAGAGTTCAAAATCAAGACTGGTAGTCTGTATGTAACTATTCTCATAACTTTTTTTAGGCCATTCACTTATTTTTGGCCTTCAAATTGTATTTCAGATGGAAGCAGGAACAGACCACCTTGAGACTACATGCTTCCTCATGATTCTTTTCCAAAGTTAATGTGAATTAGAAGGCAAAGTTGATGACTTAAACTGGGGGATTGCAACATGGAATCCACTGAAAAATGAAGGCATGGCTAACCCTCCCTCCCCTTGAACAAAAACAGCTGCTTACCTATTCCAAAGTTAACTTTCCCCCAGATGAACAGAAGAGGATCACAGAGCACAGGAGCCCAAGGACCACTCCCATCTCTCAGATGTCCAAAAAACAAAAAAATTGTTTTTGTTCTTAACTGTAAGTAGATCTTTAAAGTATGGGAGAGATGAGACATACACAGTCACTTAAGCACTGTTCTGTATATCTCTGACACAACCCTATGACAGTATTCACTTCCAGCTTTCCCTCTGGCTTCTGACTTTTAGTGCCTATTTGCAAAATTAAAGGCAGAAAATGGGAATCAGCAGCACTCTAGACTTAATTTTGATTTCTTACAGCTTAACTAGATAATGTCAGGTTCAAGGAAAAGATATACTAACTTACCTAAAACACACAATGGGGGATCGATCACACAATAGCACAGACCAAGTTTTCAAATTAATAAATCTAACTCACTTTATTTTCTCCACTGCACCCACTGTTGTTATCATTATCTTCACCCTCACCCTCCTCCTCCTCCTCCTCCTCTTCTTCCTCTTCTGGTAGTGGTACAGTACCATCATAGCCATAAAGGCTAAGAAGCTCATGAATTGGCATATCACCTTCCTAAAAAGAATTAAAACAGGAAATTATAATATTTTCACCAATTTCATACCAGTGCTGTGATTTTCAGGTTGACTCGTGAACAGTGGCACCAGTTGCCCTCCCACCCCACCTCCAAAAGCAGATGTCAGCCTGTACAAGTTGTCCTTTCGCTACCTGTCCTGCTTAAGATAAAGCAGAGACAAGATGAAACATTTATGCAGTCTGATGTGGCAATAGCACAACAATGAGGCTACAGCACAACAACCTATACTGCCAAGCAAGAGACAGTAATCATTCCTTTGGCATATTTCCTGCCCCACACAGGCAGGGAAAAGTGGAATATCAACTGCTGCTACTTTCATTAGATTTTCTGAAGTAGCAAGCAAATTCAGGATAGGAATGCAACAACTGGAGCAGAGGTTGGGTGGTCTCTCTCTTAGTTAAGTTAAAAGCTTGTTATGCACACAAATTGCAATAAATGCTTGACAGAAAGACTACCAATGGAACTATAGATGGAAAAGAGTGTATATTGAATGAAATGAGAATATTTGATCTTCAATACTGCAACACATGTATGTAATTCAGCTGTAAGTATTTTGGAAAAGGTGTTTTTTTTAAAAAAAAAAGTACATGAAAACATTGTTGTGACTGAAGCAGCATAAATAGTGAAATCTGCTACAATAATTTATTTACTGAAATAGGTATTTTTCTCCACAAGAGAGTTTTTATAAGTCAGCAACACATTACACATCTCATTTAGTCAACAAATATGTTAATCCCAATCAATGAACAACTTTAGAGGAAAAGAAGAATGAAATAAAAATAAAACACAGCATTATATTTTTCCAATTTCTAATATAAAAATTATTAACAAATGAATTCAAGGTTTTTACAACTTTTGATTTATGCTTTCAGAGTATCATCAAATAAATGTATAATCCATACCAGCTGCAGATTTTTTAAATCTCTGTTTAATCAAACGATATGAATGCTCAATTATAAGAAAATTAACTAGTTCTTCAAGCATAGTATATCCCAGGGGATAGCCTCCATTCTGTGTACATGTCAACCCGAAGCCATGTGTACATTATATTGTGACATACACTGGGCCTGGTCTACTATATATTTAAAGTTAATGCTTCTGACCTTCCTTGTCTACTTTATATGAACTGGAAATTAGACTGCCATATTTAATTTTGCCACTAAGCAACTTCACCATTCTGAAGAGACACACCGTTCCTTGCTGTTACCTGTCACACAGCAGAAAGTATAAGGAAATGTGTCATATAAATTAGACAGAATGTCTATTGCCTGGCAGCAATTCTTTTTACTACATTGGCAATATACCCTTCATTCCCCGTGCCAAACGAGGTTTACCTCATCATTCCTCTGATTTTAAAAAGTAAAAGCTTAGTAACTCACTGTAGGACATATTTAATAAACAAATTACCGGCTTTTTTTAGTCCAGAATCACATGACTGAAACATATTTTCCAGAAATAGACATCTGCATCAAGCACTACCCAAACAAACTAATTTTAATTCGTTATGCTTTAAATAATCTTATAATTCTATGTTCTTATATCTAGTCCAAAACAACATTAATCTCTTGGTTACATAAAGATAAAAATCCCAAAATTATAATAAAAAAACTTAACAATAAATCAACTATCTTATAAGCAAATAGCAGCTGAAATCCTGCTGCATAAATGCCATAACTTAGAAATGAATCTGCTGTAAATTAAGAAATTACTGTAGAGATTATCTTTATACACTGAGTTGTGTGACTTGGTATGCACCAGATAATGGCTAGACTGACTTCTTAATTTATGCCAATTCATCTCTAAAATCCCCACCTGCATAACTGTGAAACAGGATTTCAGCCAGTTTATACTAAATAGCTCATGGGAACTTTATACTAGATAAATGCTAATTTTATTTATGTATTTATGTATGTATTTATGTATTTAACTAACTAACTAGCTAACTAACTTGTATCCGGCCCATCTAGACTGTGTCTACTCTGGGCGGCTCACAACAAAATAGAATAAAAAATAATTTAAAATATCAACAACAATTTCACAGCATTAAGCATATCATTCAATATGGGAGATAAGAGATAAATCAGGTGGCTGTATTACTTTATGCTGGTGCAAGTGGTAATCTCAGCAGTGAATTGCCAATAGTTAAGGAATCCAAGCTTGATGCATGCCAAGTCATTTATTTTGTGGATGATCAATTCAAATGCTGATTTCTTAAGCAGTGGAATCCATCACTGAGATTTACATCATTTGACTTACGACAGGTTCTGTTAGTATGTAGCAGAATTCTTCTCACTGTAAGTGTCCACATTCCTTATCTGTATTAGAAGACTGAATAAGAAGAGGGAGCATATAGATCTAACATTCCTCTTACAACCCCACTAGATTTTTTACATTTTTCTACTGAGACAGAGGATGATTTAATAAGACAGGGCAACATTCAGAGCCATGGAGACCTGAATCCTCTCCTATGATTTTCCCCCAAAACTTTTTAAAGGGACCTTTTTAAAAAACTGAAATAATCCCTTGTGCTCTCTAGTGGCAAAAACATATATTTTTAAACGACGAGACTTGGTGTCCCTCAAAAAATGGCAAAATGGCCATCTACATGGCACAAGGATAATTTTTTTAGCCTTTTCCCCTCAAAGTTTTAAAAATGAGTTTATGCAACTGCTAGTGCCCCCCCCCAGGAATGCTGGGTAGCACACATGAGGTGTAGGATGCCACACATGGTCCAAAGGCTGCAGGCTGCCCACTCTTGATCCAATATGTACTAAACAATATTTGTTTACTGTTTTTTACCCTCTCTTGCTACTAGAAGTTTAAATACCACAAATCTTGAGTTTCTTACATTTATTCCTCACAATAGGATCATCATAAAAATATATGCCTGCAGATAAATTTACTGTAAAATCAGGAGAGTGCCTGATACATGGAGCAATGCTCATGTAATGTGGATGGGTATGGGGGAATTATTATGCTTTCCACTCAAATGCCATTTGATAGCTGAAGATTCACTATAGTTCTGCTTCTGTGATAAATATGTCCTTCCAGGCAACTGATCATTAATGGTACCTCCAAGATTTGCCTGCAACAAGAATGTGAGTAAATACAATTCTGAAGTTATCTTTCAAAATATGTTCTCATATTTACCCTTGTAAGATCTTCTATTTCAGAACTGAAGTTTGTTTCACCTTCCATCATTTCTTCCTCTTCTAATGTTCGTTCATCATCAAAATCGTGAACCAGCATGTCAGCCGTTGGGTCAAATTCATGGTCCTCTGATGTAGTGGACCCTCCTACAATTTAATTAACAATTTCAAGGTTGATCACATTATAGCTGCAAGATCATTGTTACTTTATGTCAGTAATTTTAAATCCAAAACAAAGAGAGAAATTCTGCAAAACTAAATATCTAAATAAATAATATAACAATAATGCAGATAAGATACCAGCATATGGACTAAAAAAAAGCAAACAGTGATTATCCTATACATGCTTATTCAGAATACCAGTAAGTTTATGATTTACTCCAAAGTAAGCTGAGTATAGGATTAGGGTGGAAAAAGGTTTATAAATTTCACCTTGTGTTCTGAAAGAACTGCAATTGATTCCCCCAATCAAAAGAAGACATAAGCACTTCAATGCCCATTAAAAAAAAGAAGCAATAAGTACTGAAAAGCCCACAGAAGAGAAAACTATTATGTCAGGATGCTTCCCGTTTGAACAGCATACATCAAGAATTCCAACTTGGTAATGAGAACAGATTCATACTTTCTTACAAGGTGAATTTGATTTAAACCAAATCAATTTAAACCACAATTTAAATCACTAGTCAGTAAGCATTTTGTTTAAAAATCTGTTTAAAAAAATTTTTAATCAGATTTTTGATTTAAATGGGATTTTGACCTTAATAGGATTTTTATGTAAATCAATTTTTTTAAATAAAATGCTTACTGACAAGTGATTTAAAATTGTGATTTAAATCAAATCCACCCTGCTTTCTTGTGATGTGCTATAAAATATTAAAGACCATGAGTTTTTAAAGTAAAAGTTTCAGTTTACCAAAAGCAACTCTTATATCACTGAAAAATAGAAGTTCCACATGAATGACAGAAGGTCTTGGTACCCATAATATTTTCACTTTTCTGCATGGACTACCTAGTGAGTTTTGGATCTTAAAAAAGCCTTCCACAAATGTCATGAGGCTCCAAAAGGTTGTATGAATCTTGCGGGGGCACATAATATTTGAAAACAGGAATGGGAAAGCTAAAACCTTGCAATACAAACAGAACTCTGTAAATAGTTCTTTGAATACAAGCCATTAAGTAGGAAATTGTAAATGAAGATGGTTTTCAGGGCCAAAATGTAATACTAATGGTAGCATTGAAATTTTTGTGTCTCCAGTGTTGAGAGTTGGGCCTGACACATTTGAAGGGGACCGCAGACTGAAAACAATTCTTCACAATACACTACTTATATGGTTTGTTATATAATTTATACAATCCTGATTCTGCCAGTATTGCTTTATTATTGTGTTTATGGCCATGACCAAAGAAAGGCAGAGAACAGAATCATAGAATCATTAAAAAATGAAGTTGGAAGAGGCTACAAGGCCATCAAGTCCAACGCTCTGCTCAATGCAGGAATACAATCAAAGCATATCTGCCAGGTGATTACCTAATTTTTTCTTGAATGCCTCCAGTGCTGGAGCCCTCACCAACTCCTGAGGTAACTGGTTCCACTGTCATACTGCTCTAACAGTTAGGAAGTTTTTCCTGATAGTCAACCAAAATCTGTCTTCCTTTAACTTGAGCCCATTGTTGCGTGTCCTGCACTCTTGGATGATCGAGAACAGAACAGTTGAGCTAGAAGATTTTTCAGCACTGCACAGCAGGTTTTCAGTACTGTACATGGAAAGCAGAAGGAACAGAGATTCTCCCCATTCTATATGTGCCTGTAGAAGTGCTTCTGCCAACTCTGCAACCAAAACTGGATTAGTGGAATTCTTTCATGGGAAAGGCATGCTTTCTGTCCTGCATTCCCTTCAACCCTGATGTGTAACTTTCTGGCACACTTGACTAACAGACAAATACATTCTCCATTCCAACCAATGTGTCAACCAGGCATTAAGCATGAAGATGCTTGCCCTAGCTTATACAACATGAGACGGATAGTGCTTGATACATTGTTAAAACTGAAGCTTCTTCCAGACTCTAAAACTCCACTTGGTAAATGATCAGGGGAACAGTGTTTACCACTACCCTGTTTCCTGAAAATAAGACCTAACCTGAATATAAGCCCTAGTATGATTTTTCAGGATGCTCATAATATAAGCCCTACCCTAAAAATGAGCCGCAGTTAAGTGAAACCCCGCTCTCCACCACTGTGCAGCAACCAGAAGATGACATGACTGCATTTGCATAAATGTAGATTGTTGTACATGAAAAAAAAAAAACAATATGCCCTGAAAATAAGCTCTAATGTGCTTTTGGGAGCAAAAATTAATATAAGACCCTGTCTTATTTTCAGGGAAACACGGTACACTTCTCAAATGTTCTCCAATTTAAGATCAAACTGCTGCAGGAGTCTTTGGTGATTTAGCCAAAACTATTTCACATGAAGTCTTCCTTATTTATGGATTGATCCCAATATACAAACTACCAGAAAATGTTAAAACAGGTCAACAGGAACCTTTCCATTACAGTATGCTTTGAAACCTCATAGTTCCCAACACCACAAACACATGAAATCTGCACTTGTCAATACACAGTAGACAGTGCTGTATCTATACAGTGGGGTCTTGACTTGAGAACTTAATCCGTATTGGAAGGCAGTTCTCAAGTCAAAAAGTCTGTAAGTCAAGTCTCCATTGACCTACAGTGCATTGAAAACCGATTAATCCCGTAACAGGCCGTTTTTGTTCCATTTTGGTTTTTTTCTGGTCTGTAAGTCAAATTTCAGTCTGCAAGTCAAACCTAAATTTTGCGGCCAGAGAAGTCTGTAACTCAAAAAGTCTGTAAGTCAAGCCGTCTGTAAGTCAAGGGTCCACTGTAGTACAGCTAGGACATTAAAACATTTAAATTCATAATATGAAATCTGAAATATTTAACTTTCTAAATGGGTGTGTGTAAGTATAGTTCACTCTCTGCTATTCCAGATACTTTTGGGAGGTACCAGGCTACCATTTTCAGAATCCACAATATCCACAAATGATGGTCTATGACCACCAATTTGCAGATTCTTGCTTAAGCACAATGAACGGTGGGTAATTAGCAGATGGCAAGCCCAGAACACTGACTGCCATAAGACACAGCCACTTGATCCCTTGCCTCACTTTCATTTTATGTGATACAGTATAAAAACAAAATAACATTTTACCTGGGCTTCCTGACTCAACAGAAGGCTATCCAAAGAAAAAAGAAAAGAAAAAAGTTAGCAATGAGCAACACAAATTATTTAGCAATACATGAGAAATGCTAAAAATTTCTTTATTTGTACATACTAAACTTGCAATTAAGAAACTTGGAAGAATTAACTGGTTTATAAGTTTTATGGGTAAAATGTTAGATTGACTCGTGTTTACTTCTCCCCCTTGCATCCTTTTGTTTTATTTTACTACAAAATTATACAATAAAAAATAAAAATCTGGTCATAAAAGTGAACTTTAAACCCGGAATCCTGTTAAACCCAAAACTGAATAACTCATTCACTTGATTGTTTTAGCTGTCATGTGCTTAGACATATCCACATACTTGGCTGTCCATTCAGATGCATAACCAGATTGGTGACAGATGACCATAAAACTGGAAAAACCATTTGTACAATTTCCTTATGCAAATATGGTATTTTGCAATAGGATTTTGTCCTAATTTTTTATAAAAATTCTCAGAGAAAATTATCTATTATCAAATAAAGAAGCAAGTAAGATAAATCGAACAGGACAGAACATTGGATTTAGCCTTAAATTCTATACAGTAAATACAGAGCACTAAAGGGAGGAATTTAAGAGCCTAGAAATAGATTTATGGATGCATGGAAAAAATGTGGGATGAGAAAGAGAAAATTTGATTCTAGATTAACATCAGTGAGAAAAACAACAAAGTAGCAGGAAGAGAATTGGAGATCCAGAAGTTCAATGTTTAGGAACTAAACATATCTAAGAATGTGGATTGTAACTCCCCAAAGTGTATATTGAAATAAATCTGTCAGTCTTAAAGACAACACAATAATAATAATAATAATAATAATAATAATAATAATAATAATAATAATAAATAATGGCAGAGCTGAAAGGGACATTGAGTCCAGCCCGTGAAGGAAGTACAGTGGGAAATAGAACTCCCAACCTTTGTCTCCAAAGCCAGATAGCTAAACCACTGAGCTATCCACCACTGAGCTAGAACAATATATTTAATTTTTGTTTTTGTAATAAACAAGGTAATAAAGTTCTCAAGAAAAGAAAAGCAGCTAAAAAAGGAAGTTGAGGAGCTGACTAACTAAATACAGTGGTGCCTCGACTTACGAACATCTTGACATACAACCATTTCGAGTTGCAACCAGTTCCGACCACAAAATTTTGCTTCGACTTGCGGTCGGAGCTTCGAGTTGCGACCGGAAAAGGGCAGGGGAAAAAGGAGAAAAAATTTGCTAACCGTTGGTAGGTGAAGACGCTGCATCTTTATAGCTCTTTCACCCCAATGATTAGAGTGAGTGCGTCGCAGGAGGCTTTGGACTGCCTGCAGCTGCTTTCTGAATAAGTACATTTACAGCTGTAAATATGGCTGTCCTGCGAAGCATGGGTCCAGAAAACACAGGGCAGCCATTGTGTGAAGCCGATGATCAGCTGTAAAAATTGTCATCTTGTGAACAAACGGTTCGTGAATCACGGACCTAATCAATGTCCAGCGAAAATCCCCCATTGGAATTACTGTTTTGCGAATCTCTACAGCGGTTGCAAAAAGTCATCGTTAAGCGGATTCGTCATTTAGCGGGGTTGTCGTTTTGTGAGGTACCACTGTATCTGGGTTGTCCAGGACATCCAGATCTTTCTGGTATAATTCCTCTGTGTATTCTTTCCACCTCTTCTTGATGTCCTCTGCTTCTGTTAGGTCCCTACCATTTTTGTCCTTTATCATGTCCATCTCTGCACAAAATGTTCCTTTAATATCTCCACTTTTCAAACAGATCTCTGGTTTTTCCCTTTCCATTCTTTTCCTCTATATCTTTGCACTGTTCATTTAAGAAGGCCCTCTTGTCTCTCCTTGCTATTCTTCGGAAGTCTGCATTCAATTTTCTGTACCTTTCCCTATCTCCCTTGCATTTTGTTTCCCTTCTCTTCTCTGCCATTTGTAAGGCCTCGTTGGACAGCCACTTTACTT